ATAGGGTGGCTTAAGTGGCTCTACACAGCTGGGCGTAATCAAGTGATTATTGTAAAGCTTTCGATATAACTCCATATAAGTCATAGGAATTGGATCAAATACGAGTTTTTCACGAGTAATTCATTGCTCTCGTGAACCACTTGCTGGGCTAATAGGATGAATTTGGGGTTTTACGAGAGGTTGAATGTTAAGGCTGTATGTGAGAGCTTGAAGGCTAAAAATAGGTTGGTATGTGGATAAGTAAGATGGTTATGGTATGGGCTAGATTCACAGCAGGATAGTATGGAGAGTAACATTATGGTTGATAAAGTTGATAACTCTTGAATTGTCTATCAAAGCTCACAACTTGAGCTTCAACCTCTTTTTTTTTTAGTGCCTTCCTAGTTTCCCCTCCTTTCAACTTGTCATTTTTAATGGCATTCTCAATGATTTCACCTAAGATCACCATGTCAACAAAATTTTTTGTTGCATTTTCTATCATTTTTTCATAATAAAAAGATTTTAAAGTGCTGACAAATAACACTATGATCTCTTTCTCAGTCAAAAGAGGTTGCACCTGAGTAGCCATATCCATCTATCTCTAGGCATATTTCTTGAATGATTAAGTCACTTTCTTTTTCATATTTTACAAAGAAAAATGATCTGGGGCTAAGTCGATTATATGTCGATATTGACTAATAAAGTCATGGGCCATATCACTCCAAGAATGAATATAGGTCCTATCCAACTGGACATACCACCCAGCAGCAAAACCCGTAAGGCTATCTTGGAACACATTCATTACTAGTTTTTCATTATTAGCATGGGCTACCATTTTTCTACAGTATATGGCGATGTGGGTTTTCAGACATTTTGTACCGTCATATTTCTCAAACTTTAGCACCTTAAACTTTGGAGGAATAACCACATCTAGGACTAAACAAAGCCCAGCAGCATCCATAGAACCATAAAAACCAACTCTTTCCACTATTCACAGGCTCTTTTCCAGCATACTAATTTTTTGGTCAGCTTTCAAGTCCCTCAGTGACTCGTCCCTTTTTTATTTTAACTTTTTGTTCTTTTTTGGATCATCCAAATCAAGGACCTAAACTGATTCTATGATTTTTTTTTTGTAAAGACATGATTTACATAGCTCTGATATTGTTTAGGGTTTGAAGCTGATGGCATTCTAGGGTATGTATACCCTACAGGATAAGTGAACTGCTATGATTATGGACTTTGTGTTGGTTGAGCTTGATGTGGCCCAAAACCAAGAGGGTACAATGGGTCATCCACCTTTTGTGATGGATAATCTTGTTGGCTAGTACTTTTTTCTATACCTTTCCTCTTGTTTAATTTGTTCAAAGCCTCTAAAATCCTATTCAACTCCCCTTCTAGCTTCTCTTAGGCTTTCTCTATCCTCTCGAGACGATTGGAATTTTTTTGTTCCATTTGTTTAGCTCAAGTCCTTGTATTGTATTGGTGAGTTGAGTGTGTGGGATTCTTTGTTGGTGAAGTTATCTTTGAACCTTGAGTACCACAATTATGATCAGAAATGTTATGCTATGCTTTATGCATGATATGTTGATGCATGAAATGTACATTTTCATGGATGAAATAAAAATGATGCAGATGTAAAATGTTACATATGACAATGAAAATGATGCATGACATGATAATGCAAATGCATAAAGTCAAACACACAAAATAGTTAGATCACAAATTATTTCTTCTTGTGTCTTAACTTCGAGTTATATCTATCAATAGGTAGGAAAGGCTCTATTTTAGGGTTAGCCTCTTAAGTGTACACTATATGTAGGGTTAAGTGATTTTGATCACTAAAGGTTCCTAAATTGTTTCTTACATCACTGTCCATCACAGACTAGTAAGGTAGATCAATCCTCACTCATCACAGGCTACCAACAGAAAAGATTTAATTTGAGTGGGAGTATTTCGCTAGCCATTACAGAGATTATTATCTCACGAGAGTGTAGGTATTTTACTCCCTCTTAAAAGGGACGGAAGCTCGGGTATAGAGCTTATGTAATGCAAATACATGTGATAGTGTGTGTGGACATATAGATTTCATGCCCTAAAAATAAAATACAATATGCAAAAAAAAAAAATGATAGTAACCAAATAACACAACTCATCACAATTTAAAACCATTAGACTAAAGTATAAGATAAATTTAAAAATTATGGCTTGACTCTCTAGCTTCTCCAGCGAAGTCACCAAACTATCATAATATATAGATTTGTAAATTTATAGCTAGACATAAATGAATGGAATCACCACCAATCTTTTTTATCTAGGTGTGATTGGCCACCTAATGAATCTATTTTTTTAAGGAGCTTCTAAGCTTGACTAAAGGTCCCTAAAAGAATAGGTTCGGATTTAAAAATCAGAATAGGGTTCAGGAGTTTGGTTACATATGGAGAAAGTTATAGCACCCATCCAAAAGATGGTAGCATATTATTTTAAATTTATCCTAGGGTATTGAGTCTAATGGTTTCAAATTTATTGTTCAAATATTGGAAATAATTCTTAAAACTCTCCATCAATTTAATAGAATTCTTAAAAATATTTTCTCACCTCAAGAGTATTCAAGAATCGCATTTGATTTCTTGAAGAGGCTCCGTCATCGAAAAAATTTTATTTATTATTTTTTTTGTCAAAAATATATCTAATTATTTCACCATTTGGGCCAAATTAGAAATATCTTCTCTTTTGAATTTCTAAATTTTTCACCATTTGAGCCTATTTAAAATTCTCTTTATTTCTCTTTTTCTTTGTTGGAAAGAAAATAATATGACAATTTTTTTATTGAAACTTCATCTAAATTATTCCACCATTTAGGAAAAATTTAGATAAAATTTCTCACTTAGAGATTTCTTAAGAATTTATCATTTGAAATTTCTAAAAACTCATTCTTGGATAATTTGTATTTAATTCCAAAAATTTTTATTAATTTTTATATTTTTATTCTTTTTCTTTTTCTTTTTTTTTGTTTTGAAAATAAATATTAATTATTGTTATTAAAACTTTATCTAAATTATTCTACCATTTGGGATAAGTTTAGGTAAAACTTCTCACTTAGGAATTTTATAGAATTTACTTTTTGAAATTTCTATAAATTTCATCATTGGACAATTAATATTTATTTCTAAAATTTATTTTATTTTTTACCCTTTTTGTTTTCATTTTTTTCTAAAATTTAATAATGCAAAAATACTCAAAAAAATAACTAAATAAAGTGAAAAAAAATACCCAAAACAGGAGGTGGCTCAGCTTGGCTTCGCTGTAGGAAGAAAAGCTAGAACGGCTCAAAAAGCAACTCAACTAGGCTCGACTTGAGACAAATATTGAAAAAAGTCACCAAAATTTAGGAATTTTCTAGATTTTTCCAAAAAACTTCTTCTTTTTTTTTTAAACACCGAAAAATCTTTGAAAAATTTTCTTGATTGCTTTCTCTGATTTTTGCCTCTCTCTCTCTAATTTTTTTGTGTGTGTTTGTGTGATTTGTGTGGGTATGTATTTATAGGATTCTGAATCTAAGAACTCCAATCCAAAAAGGAATCTCAATTTCCTTTGAATTCCAACCTTAAATCCAACCCCAACTTTATAAACCAATTCCAACAATTTCACACAAACTCAACTAGTTATTTTTTTTTGTTTTTTTTATTTTTTTATTTTTATTAACAAAAATCAAATGTAGACTCCTGGACAGATTGGAGTGTCTACAACATCAATAAATTTAACAGTCATGTTAGCAAAGTTAATGAAGTGCAACTGATGGCATTAGTAATTGACCAACATTATCAAACTTAATTTGTACGAGGGCAAGTTATTTATGAATTATACTAAAAGGAATAAAATTGAAATTTTGTGTGAGTACAAAAGCTATTCACATAAGTTAACAAATAATTTAATTTATTAAAATTATCACGTCAGTAAAGTCAATGCCACATCAACAAAATTAACATTTATGTCATCAAGTTAACAATCACGATAGTATTTTTTTTTAATGGCAAAATTTTGATAAAATTAATGATTGGACTAATATTATTAAATCAAATAATTTAAGAACTACAATAAATAAATTAAATTTTAATTTTTGATAAAGTACATACATAATTGGCATAATTTGACTTTTTTATATATAAGAATTTAATAATAATTTATAAAATTTAAGAGGAGGATCCATTTACATCATGTGAAAATAAAGAGTATATATATTTAGGATTGGTTTGGATGGAGTTGCACCTGCGATGAAGTGCAATTAGCAACCAAAAAGCCATAATGGAATCCAAATGGCTGAAGGGTAAAGGGTGATTCAATTATTTCTGCCATTCTGGACCGCAATCTTGCCAAATTTTCATTATTGTAGCCTTGTTTTCCAGATTTAACCTTCATTTTTTTTTCTTTTTTTTTTTTTTTCCTTAAGCATATAACGCACTAGGTCTTTCTTTTTTTAAAATTTTTTATTTTGCTTCTTTTTTATGATTGTTGCTATGTTACACCAAACAAAATCATTTTTATCCTCTTCTTCAATATTACTTTTAATTTTTTATACATAAATTTAATATTATTTTTTGGTGGCATATTAATAATATTAATTGCTTGATTAATTCTCAACACAACATCATATTGCATTGAGCATTACAAGTTTGTAGATCTTACAATTTTAAATAAGATATGATGATACGATATAAAAATAATATAAAAAAATATAAAAGTAACACAGTTTAAAATTTTAATAAAATTTGTACGAGTTTGTTAAAAATAAAAAAAATTATTTTTAATATGTTGATATAAATTTAATATTATAATTTTTACATTTTATAAGTATTTAACATAAAATAAATATGACATGAATGCACAAACATAATATATATATATATATATATATATATATATATATATATTCAGACTCAGCCCAAGAACTAATGGATTTCCGTTGCTATACTTTTAAGGCCAGAATGAACCCACGTAAGGGGATATGACCAATCTTAGTCCCTTCCAACATTCTCAAGTCTCGACCACATCATTTCAAGCTGACACTCACCTCACCCACCAAAGCACAAAATGGCTGAAACTGAATCCCCAATTCGTCTCGGCATCGTCGGATGTGCAAACATAGCAAGAAAAGTTGCAAGAGCCATCAACTTAGCCCCCAACTCAGTCCTTCACGCCATTGGCAGCCGTTCCATAGAAAAAGCAAAGCAATTTGCAACTGTAAACGGATTTCCTGAAAGTGTCAAAATTTATGGGAACTATGAACAAGTGCTGGAGGACCCATTTGTGGATGCTGTGTACATGCCATTGCCAACTAGTTTGCACGTTCATTGGGCGGTGATGGCTGCCAAAAAGGGTAAGCATTTGCTGATAGAGAAACCGACGGCTCTTGATGTAGGTGAGTTGGACAGAATACTTGAAACATGTGAATCCAACGGTGTGCAGTTTATGGATGGATCCATGTGGTTGCACCATCCTAGGACTGTTAAAATGAAGCAGATGCTTTTTGATTCCAAGCTTTTAGGAGATGTCAATTATGTAAGTGTTTTTTATTATTATTTCTTTTATGTTTTTAAATTTAAGTAGCATTGCTTTATTTTGATTTACATTTTTTTTATTTAGTGATAGTGCATCAAATCTCTGGATCTGTCCATTTCATTTAAATGACTTTTAAATTTGAATGAAATATAGAGGGGAGAAGGAAAAATATCTCTTGGTCTTCTAGAATTAATAGAGAGTAGGAATTATAAAATAAAAAAAAAATGTTCATACGTCAGCTTACAAACACCATACAAAGAGTCAAGTTTGATTAATTTCAGTGAGTAGTGATTAATCTCTAACAATTTTAAGTATCAAAAATTTTGAGTAGTTTCATATTTTAATTTTTAACTCAAGTTATTCTTAATCCTAATTATAAAAATGGTTTTCTGAATAATATATATATATATATTTGGAAAAAAATATATATCAATAAATGTTAAAACACTTACAACTAGGTATTATAAAAATATTTTAAAACTCTTACAACTAGGCTTAAAAATAATTAGCAAAAATTTGATAGTTCATATTAGGCGTGTAATCGATTTGAATTAAGTAGATATATCATTAAATTTGAGCTTGACTTGAGTCGAAAACTCAAGAATCGAGTTTGATGGGGCTTCATTTTTCTTGCTGGAGCTCAATTTATAATTTAATTGAGCTGTTCGAGTTCAAATTGATAGGTTGGATAAAATTATAAATATTTATATTAAATAGTATATTTTTATCATTTATTTTTATATATTAAATATATTTAAAAAAATTTATTAGGCTTGAAGGCTTCTTCGGTTAAATATTAAATGACTCAAGATCGGCTTAACTCACTCAAGTAACTCGAATTCGACTCAACAATGAACGAGTTGATCTTGAGTTTCTTTTTAGTTGAACTCATATAGTTAATGAATAACTTAACTCATTTACACCCTTAGTTAACATGCATGCAAGACAATATATACATATATATATATATATATATACACACACACACGATCCAATTCTAATTTATTGTCTTTATTTTGTTTTCTTATTTAATTTTATATAAATTTATATTTTCTTAAAAAATTAGGACTCTAAGGATATCAATATGGGAGACAGAATTCAAGCTTAGATATTTTAATGATAATTGAGCTAAATAAATAGTAATTCATCTTTTATATTTTTTCTTACGAACTTGAGTTTGAAAACAAAGCTCAATTGAATTTGATTTTGAACCAAGTTGAAGTCTATAGTTTTCTGATTGAGTTTTTGAAAATATCAACTCAGTTTTACTTGTTATAGAACTACTGCATGCCTTAATTACTCTGCTATTTGATAATCTAAAAAATTAAGTACTAAATTTTTGGTACTGAATTTTATAATCACTAAATTTATATTACAAAAATTGTTCGGTATGTTATTAAAAATTATGTGCTAAAGATAGTTAGAGGTGATAATAGCTCAAATCGAATTGGATTTAGTTCGATTTTTATAATAATATTTAATATTATAAATTTTTAAAATTTGATCTGAATTCCAATCAATTTTTTTATCTAATTCTATCCCATCCAAACCAAATTATATCAATTTGGTTCATTAATTTTTGAAATTATTTTTTTATTTTTATATATTATTTTAATATAATTTTTAATATATTAAAATAGATTAGATGATATAACATAATTGTTTTATTTTATAAAATTTAAAATATATAAGCTAATAAAAAATATATAATTTTGTTCAATTTGATTTTTTACTTTTTAATCCAAATCTAATATATACATTTAATATCCGAATTTAATCTGAATCGAATAAAAAAGAATATATTCTAATCGAACCAGATATTACAATTTCGAATTGATTTTCGTTTATAAAATTTCTAATATCATATATATATAATATAAACAATATATTGATAGGTCATAAATTTGTAAAACAAAATATTATTATAACAAAATTAAAGTTTAAAGAGTACCGATATTTTTAAATTAATGGTGAAATATCTAATTACATAATCTTTCAAAATTATGAAAATTTTTTTATTATTTTGATAATTTAAAATTAAAAATACAAATAAATCATTTGTTAAACAATTTTTTTTATCAATATAAGAAAAATAAATATATTTTTTTTAAAAATGAAGTTAAAATTTTGAGATTCAAAGTTAAGATCAAATCTTCTATAAAATGGTTTTTTTTTTTTTTTTGGAAAAATAGATTGCAGGAGAACATAAAATAAAGATTAGAGTAAAATTAAAAGTAAAAAAATTTATATAGAGAGGAGAAATTATAGTAAATTATAAAGAAATGAGAAAAAAACACTATATGATTTTAGTCCATCTTAAATTATAATGCATAAAATTATATTATGAAACTAAAAAAATAAATATAATAAATATAGAATAGCAATATGATTTTAATCCTTCTTAAATTCCAATGCAAATTAGATTATAAAACCAAAAAATTAATTAATTAATTAATAATTCGATTTTAACAGGGACCAATTTAAATATATATATATATATATAAAATGATTTTCAAAACTTTGGGGCCAAGGCCTCTCAAGTTTAAAGGGCAATCCGCCTCTGATTAATTGATCGATAACTGTAATTATTGAATTTTAAAAATGAATAGTTTTAAATAAAACTTAAAAGGAATATATAATTTTTTGAATAAAATTGACTGAATATATTGTGCAGTGATAAGTAGCTCCTTCTTTAATTATTCTATTCAATATTTTTTTAAAAAAAAATTCTATTGAGTAGCATTTAATATGATTTATCAAATATATTGAAAAAAAATCAAAAGTTAAATTTGATACATTATAAATATATAGATTCTATACATTATAAGTGAATCGGATAATATAATCTTATTAGTGAATAAATATCAGTTTTTAAAATAAATAAAAAAATAATATTTTTTAAAAATTTATTTCTTAATGAGATAGGATCATTTAATTTATCTCATTACTGAGATAATATCATTAATTTGCTGATAATGTACAAAATCTATATATTAACAATGCATCAAATATAAATCTAAAATCTAAACCGTTGAAAATTTTGTTTTTCAATACATTGAAAATTTTCTATGCATTTTCAAACACACCCTGCATTTGTATCATTCAACTTCAAAGTTTCTAAAAAATCTGCAATTTGCTGCTACGGAATGTCAGGTCTACAGCACATCAACAACAGCAGCATCCCCCGAATTCATGGAGAATGACATAAGAGTAAAACCAAAACTGGATGCCCTTGGTGCACTTGGTGATATTGGCTGGTACTGTCTTGGAGCTGTCCTGTGGGCCAAAAATTACCAGCTACCAACTGTAGTCACTGCACTACCAGATGTCACTAAAAACTCCAATGGAGTCATCATCTCCTGCTCAGCTTCAATTCAATACAGGCAACCAGATGGAACCAAAACAGATGCAATTATTCACTGTTCTTTCCTCTGCAACACATCCATGGACTTGGCCATAACTGGTTCAAGAGGAACCATAAATCTCAACGACTTCATAATCCCATATCAAGAGAGTTCTGCTTCATTTGAATTCACATTGGGAGCAAAATTTGTGGAACTTCACATCGGGTGGAATGTGAAGCCTGAGAAAATTGTTGTGGCTTCTGAGCTCCCACAGGAGGCATTGATGGTTCAGGAATTTGCAAGGCTTGTTGAGGGGATTAAAACATATGGTTTTCTGCCTGATCGTAAATGGCCTGAGATTAGCAGAAAGACTCAGTTGCTACTTGATGCAGTGAAGAAATCTGTTGATCTTGGTTGTAAGCCTGTTTATTTTTAAGTCATATCAGAGTATATTTGTTAGAGCCGGCTATCCAGGCATTCATGTAGTGTAAAAATTGATACTTCGTCTATTCCTATCATATTTACACGAAAACTGCATATTAATACGAAAAATATGAAACATATATAGATTTTTGTTAAATTCATACATAATTTTATTAAAATTTTAATTCATATCATTTTTGTGTCCTTTTTTATTATTTTCATGTTAAGTTTTCGTATCGTATTTTAAATTTTCAGGTTTAATATTTGCTTTATTTGAACATATTTGGTGTACTCAAAACATGGAATAGTAGATAAGATTACCGTGAAAATAAAAAAAAAATGGTAATTAATATATCTATAACTTTCTTTGGGTAAAGTAATTTTTCTCTATTTAGATCTTATGGTACTTAACAACGTGAGTTACAAAAATAATATTGAAGTGAAAGGGAAGTTTTTCTTATATAATATACGAAAGTAGATAGTTATTTTTTCCCTGGCAAGAAAGGCACGAGGTAGGGTGATCCTCTCTCTCCCTGTCTAATTGCAAAAATAATTAATGTTTTATCATCTCTGCTGAATATGGCTGCAAAGGAAAAGAAGTTTGTCTATAATTCTAACCATAAATGGGTGCAATTGACACTTCTATGTTTTGCATATGACCTCATGATATTTACATGCGGAACAAAAGAGTCAATTTTGGGTTTATTTGCTATTTTGCAACAGTTTTACTTCATGTTTGGTTTGCAATTAAATAGTGTTAAGATTGAAATATTTTTCTGCAAATCTTGGATTCATGACATTCAACAAAGCACTGTAATCCCTTAATTCAAAAAATGGCTAGAAGGATTAACAGTGGGCTTCCAACAGATTATCTTATTTCGTGGTTGGAAGTGCAAAATATATATATATATATATATTTGAGATTGAAATTAAAAGTTCAGTATTTTATCTATTAGAATTATTCAAAGGTTAAGTTATCCATACGGACCCAAAAGTCTGCTCAAATTTTGAGAAGACTCAAATAAAAAAATTAAAACATATTAAACGGGGATTGGGCAAAATTTTTAGACAAGTTTAAATTTGGGACAGAGCTGTGGACAAAAAAATTAAAGCCTAATCTGATCCGGATATATATAATTATATATAAATTTTTATTTTAATATTTTACTTTTTTAAAAAGAGTTTTTTTACTATATTTTAATTTTTTTGTCAATTTTTATTTTTAAATAGTTATTTTTTATAAAAATATATTTATAAAAAATATATAGTTTTATAGTAATTTCTATTAAAGATTAGTTTCAATATATTGTATAAATTTATAGTAATTTAATATGTAGTTAAGTCTTACGTAATTAATTTATTATGTAATTTAATAAGAGTATTATAGTAATTTTCATAAAATGCCACATGCCAAATTTTCATGAAACAATGGTAAAGGGTATTTTAATAATTTCATATATAGTTAAATATATATATTATTAAAATTTAATATGTAATTTAATAAGGACAATTTTAGTTAATTATGATAAGAGATGCACTATAGTGATTTTCTTATGAGATTCCTTTTAGTATATTGTATAGATTTATTTTATTATAGTAATTTAATGTAGTTAACTTTTGTATAATTTCTATGAAGCAATTGTAAAGGTAATTAGTAATTTAATATGTAATTAATTTTATATTATGATAAAATTTAATATTTAATTTAATAGAGATATTATACTAAATTTCAAACAAAATGTCAAATGTCATTCCATAATTATGCTAAGTAGGCCATTATAATAATTTTATCTAATTATAATAGGAGGACATTATAGTAACTTGAACTTATTATGGAAGTAGAGATATTATTGTAAGTTTGCACGTGTCAAACAATTGTCACATAATTGGAGAGGTAATATAGTAATTTTCAAGGAGATTACTTTTAATTATAGTTGACCAATACGATAAGAGAAGCATTTTCGTAATTATAATAAGAGGAGTATTATAATAATTTTGATTATGGTAAAAAAAGTATTTTTATAATTATAATAGAATGGACATTATAATAATTTTAACCGAATATAAGAGTAAGAGTATTATTATACTTTAGTAAATATGTCAAAAAATTGTCAAACAATTATAATGGTAATATAATAATTTTCAAGGTGATTATTTTAATTATTTATTATAAATTATATAAATTAGACTTAATGGATGAGCTTAAATCTTATTTTTTAACATAAGTCAAGCTTAAAAAAATTTTAGGCCTAAAATATCGAGTTAGATCAAATTTGAAGAAGCATATAAACTATTAATACCAAATATAAACCCAATCCAAACTCAACCGACCTGCCCTATGAATATCTCTACTACCAATAAAGCACGCGGTTATTGGCCTAAAAGTATGTTCAAGTTGCTAGAAATTTCTAAACAACTTATTGTTACACCAGCAGACAATGCAATAGGCAAAGCTATACAGAGAGCTTCTGAGTTTGGGAAATTCACTGTTGCTTTTAAGTTTGGTTTTGTGTTACTTCTACATCAGTGTGGGTATTGTCTTGGTTGGCTTGAGGGTAACTTTCTTCAGGTTGGCTAGGGATTTGTGGTGGTTTTCGAAAAGAAAAAATAGTTCTTTCCTTTAGTTGGGGTCTTTCTTGTAAGGGTTGTTGGGTATCCTACTGATACTGTTGAAGTAACCTTTGTTGGGTGGGTAATTGGACATTCAATGACTGAATTTGATTTATCAATGTATGATAAAACTATGGGGGGGTTTAGTGTATGTTGGTTTGGTATATGGGTATATGTGGAACTGGTAATGCAACATGCACAATAGAGGTGGCAGGAATAATATTTTGCTAATTAATGGCATTAATGAGTTGTGATAACTGAGCTTGCAAAAAAAGTGGTTGGGAGATTGGGTTTGGGCGTTCAACGTGTTGGGAATATTGACTCAAATCCCATAAGAGATTCGTTTGAGATTTGTTAGAGATTTGTTTGGGATTTGTCAGATATTGCTTGATGGACAAGAAGACTTGCAAAAGAAGAATTCCAAGAGAAAGATGATTCTTAATAGGTAAGTTTGACTTGCAAGAGAAGAATTCTAAAAGGAAAGGGATTCTTAATAGGCAAGTTTGACTTACAGGAGAAGAATTCTAAGAGGAGAGGGATTCTTAATGGGCAAGTTTGTATGGTTATAAATAGGTGAAGTCTCTACAGGGTTAGGTATGAGAAAAAGATGTAAGAGAGTTGTAGGGTTTTGTGGGATAGACACCCCACAGGAGTATTGGGGCTTTACGTCTTATGGGTGTGTATGTTTGTTTATGAGTGGACTAAAGGAGACTGAGAGGGTCCATATAGGTATGATGTATGGGAGCATATGGGTATGTGTTTGGTCATGTTGAAAGGGTGCACAAGGGTTTGAGTTTGTGTTTATTTGGGTTTAGAATACTCCATAAGACTAGAGGAGATTGAGAGTGTCTTATGAGTATTGATTGTTGAGTGAGGTTGATGATTTGATGTATGTTTGTAATTCTCTACAACTAGTGGATCTTGTTTCTCATCCGTGGATGTAGGTCAGTTGGACCGAACCACGTTAAATTGTTGTTTCTTGTGTGTTTGATTTATTGTTTGATTTCGCTTCCGCTGGTGTGATTGGATTGAAGGCTTTTAGCCCAACAAGTGGTATCAGAGCTGTGGTGTTCCCCAACAAGTGGTATCAGAGCTGAAGGTTCGAAACGTGAGAAGAGTTGAAGATTCAAGATGTGGAAAGAGCCGATAGTTTGAGACATGAGAATAGTTGACAGTTTGAGATATGGGAAAGGGAAGAGTTCGAGTTCGAGTTTTGAAGATTGAAGATTGTTTTGTATGAAGCGTGAAGACACAAGAGAAAAGAAGATGGTTGTAAGACTTCCATTGTAGGTGAAGCCAAGCATGTCTAGCATGAAGACAGATGATTGATGGAATTTGAGTCAAGGTGAAGATTGTTGGGAATATTGACTCAAATCCCATAAGAGATTCGTTTGAGATTTGTTAGAGATTTGTTTGGGATTTGTCAGATATTGCTTGATGGACAAGAAGACTTGCAAAAGAAGAATTCCAAGAGAAAGATGATTCTTAATAGGTAAGTTTGACTTGCAAGAGAAGAATTCTAAAAGGAAAGGGATTCTTAATAGGCAAGTTTGACTTACAGGAGAAGAATTCTAAGAGGAGAGGGATTCTTAATGGGCAAGTTTGTATGGTTATAAATAGGTGAAGTCTCTACAGGGTTAGGTATGAGAAAAAGATGTAAGAGAGTTGTAGGGTTTTGTGGGATAGACACCCCACAGGAGTATTGGGGCTTTACGTCTTATGGGTGTGTATGTTTGTTTATGAGTGGACTAAAGGAGACTGAGAGGGTCCATATAGGTATGATGTATGGGAGCATATGGGTATGTGTTTGGTCATGTTGAAAGGGTGCACAAGGGTTTGAGTTTGTGTTTATTTGGGTTTAGAATACTCCATAAGACTAGAGGAGATTGAGAGTGTCTTATGAGTATTGATTGTTGAGTGAGGTTGATGATTTGATGTATGTTTGTAATTCTCTACAACTAGTGGATCTTGTTTCTCATCCGTGGATGTAGGTCAGTTGGACCGAACCACGTTAAATTGTTGTTTCTTGTGTGTTTGATTTATTGTTTGATTTCGCTTCCGCTGGTGTGATTGGATTGAAGGCTTTTAGCCCAACACAACGGCAGTGGTGTGGAACAATAGAAGGGTTAATTCATGATTGGAGATAATACTGCCATTAGGTTTTGCTAATATGCCATCGATTTGCAATCCATGCATTTAATGATACTGGATTACTAGGAAATGTGAAAATAAGGTCATATTGTGGGTTCCACGAAGGAAGATTTGGGGATGGGATTTGTAAGGGGTTGGCAACATGGCTGCTGCGTCGGAGACAGCTATAGGTTGAATGGTTAGATTTATGGTTAGTGTTGCTGTTTCATAAGAATGGGATGGAACATGGCTATCGTTTCCCACAGACGGCGCCAATTGATGATGGTGTTTTTTGGGTGTTTAATTGGATGGAAGCTGGTTGGAGGTTGAACATGAGGGAACCTGGACCTGTAGCTAGAAAACACAATCAATGGGTGTCGGAATTGGTTTTTCACGATGCGCTCCGATGCTTTAGTCTGTGAAAGTGTCTAAGATTTGGTGAAGAGGAAAATAATGAGTATTGAGGAAGCTACAAGGAGAGGAATGCTTAAGTCTTATGCACCTAGCCCTCCTTTTTACCTTACATATCAAACAAAAGGTAGTGAGTTAACTAAGACAATTGACAGCTGATGATGAGTTTACGTGGAGCTTGAAGAGAATCTATGTGGGTGACTATAAATTGCATTCAATGATCTCATGCAAACGTGAATTGTATTTAATGGTCTCTAACAAGTCAGAGGCTAAGTATTCAATTCTAAAGTGATGCTTTGATAAGACGTCAATAAAGGTTTCAAGCTAACCTTTCCTTGGCAAAGGGCAAGCCAATTTTAAGGTGAAGGTTCTGGATGTTGACCCTTACTGGTGGTAACATGGCATTGAGCATTTGTTGGCTAGTCGACCAAAAGAGTTATCTTGTTGACCGAGTAAATAGGTAATAACATTAATGCATTGCTAATACTATAAATAGAGATCTTTCTAGACATTAAAATATAAGTACACTTGATTAATTAAAACACGACAAAAAAATTATAAAAAAAAAAAAGAAGAGACGAAAGTAAGTTTAAAATTTTTACAAAAACTATTTATAAGTTTAACAAAAATCAAAATATATTTCGTATTTATGTGTCAATACGAATTGTGACACGTAACTTTTATATAAAACATAATATCAATACAATGTGTGCTTTTTTCTGATTTGGAATAAACTTTCAATTATTTATAGTACAAAAAAAAGATAATGAAAATCTGTTGCCATTGTAAAATACAGGTAAAGGAAAAAAACCCTAACCTTTAAAACTAAGAGTTCTATTTATGATAATTTCTTCTATATCATTGTAACATACATGTTAGAATAAATAACAATTTTACAACTAAGAGTTCTGTAAGATAATTTTTGGTATCTACTGGCCATTCTGTACATATGTAACCAAGGCCCTTTTCAAGAGGATGGAATCGTTCTATTTGTCATATTCAATCCTCACTTGTATACCTATACGAAACATAAAATAAGATGATTATCAACAAAAAAATCCACTGAGATTAAGCTTTCAGCATTTACGGTGGCGGAGATTATATTTTCTTGTGATCGAAGAGGTTGTGATTGAATTCTCTCCAACTTCTTCTTGAACTATATAGTCAGGATCTTCAAGTTTTTCTACTTCCTCTGGCAACTCAGCATCAATCCAAGAAGGCCAATCTACATCACTATCCATTTCCCATGACAATGCTTTGTTGCTTTGCATATTATTAACTTTCTCTATCAATGTTAATAACATCTGATGGTTCAAAAATTCATAGTCCCTGCATAGTTTAACAAAGAACTCATTTAGTCTTGCAATCTATGTATCTCTCATTGCACAATTTCAAGTCCTATCATGCATACCTGTATGTGCAAATGGCGTGTAGAAGCTGAATAGAAGCAATAAGAACAAATATTGATCTAACCACATTTACCATCCACGTTTGCAGCTCGATATCATTTGCTGTGAAGCGAAGAACAGCAACTTCTATCAAGAATGTAGCACATAGTCCTGCGAACGAAGATGAATTTTTCATATAATGTTTTACATGAAGAAGATAAAGAAGAAAAAAGCAGGCAATGTAATTAGACATACCAATATATAGCCTCGGTCTTACAGGATATGTTTGCTTCGTGCTTGTGAACATGTAGACGATAAAGATTGACATAGAGTAAACAAAGAAAGCTTTGATTAATCTTGATTCAAGCAGCATGGCATTATGCAGTGCAAATAGCTTATCTAGAGCAACGAACATGCTTGCTTGCTTTGATTCAAAAGCGTCCTGTAAAACAAGAAACCAATCAGAATTAGATATGACTATGTAAAACACGACCTGGTGATAGACTCAAAAACTATATGAAAAAATATACGAAAGTGTTTAAAATTTTAACAAAAATTATATATAGGTTTAACAAAAATAAAAAATATATATTTAGTGTTTTGCATGTGGACAAGAATTATAATATATAATTTTTATATAAAACAAACACAAATACACACAAATATACGAATTACCAGGTCTAATTAAAATGCTATTCGTTGCGAGAACATTGCTTAATTAAGGATATTAACAATGCCTATACCTGAGCTGCCAATATTGACTTGGAATTTTCAACCAAGTGGTCATGGACTTGTTGCAGCTGTTCTTGTCGTTTAAGAAGCTCTTCCTGTTGTTTTCTGCCATATTCAGCTAAATGCTGCAGAGTATTTCTATGATTCATAAACAAGTTAGAAAAGGGAAAAAATCATTGAACTTCTCGAGTTTGAAATGATCTAATAAATTATTTTTTGCATGTTTTACCTGCTCTCTTCTAGTGCTTCAGATTGAAATCTAGTCAGAAATCGAAGACCCTCAAGAGCTGTCGATTGCACCTCCAGAAGTTGTTGCTGCTTATCTAGAGAAACCCCTGCCATATTTCCAATGTCATCAGCTGTTCTTTGCAGATTGTTCATGCTTGAAGACATTGCATTTCCAACTTTGCTTATCTCACTCTCAATTGCAATAGCTTCATTTCTCAAGTTATCTACTTCAAGGCCCAAATTTTTGTATGCACCATCAAGCATTGCTATTCCTTCAGTGAGTTGATCATTCATCATTGCCTGACCGTTTCGCAGTTCGATTTGCAAAGCTGCAATATCTGAAGCTTGCTTGTAAACTGTATGCGAGTGCTCAATTAAACTGTCCATATGACTTTCTAAACTGTTTGTTGTTTGATCTACATTATAAATTCGAACATCAATTGCATTCAATGAATCATGAATCTGATTTGAATTCTGCAACAGAACATTTGTTCTGTCTTCTAAAGAATCTAGTTTGTCTTCTGCATATTTGGCTGAATTTGTTAGTTCATTGACTAATCTCTCTGTGTCATGCTTGAATGCCTGGTTCCTGATAACAACAAAATTCCAAATTCTGGTCAGCAATAAAAAAAGAAGAAAAAAAAATTGCACTGAAGTTGAATCTGAAGCTTAACTCAATTGGTTCATAAGCGGTAATATCGAACAGGACTCGAGTTCAAATTAAAGCAACTAAAACACTTCCCCTATCCCCAAAGTAAAATGGAAGTTGAATCCTAAGCTAAGCTCAGTTGATTCATACAGCCACCTCTTAAGGTAGCATTCAGCAAATTTAAATTTTAAATTTTAACACTACCAATCCCTCACCCTGTACCCAAGCTGTGGCCTCCTTTGTAACAAAATTATAAATAAATAAAACTGAAGTTAAAAGGGGAAGAAAGCTTAACTGTAACTGATAGCAGATGGAATTGGTCTCAAGCAAGAATTCAAGATAAACCTTGTGTTCCAAGTCGTTTAACTGTTTCAGGCAATAAACCATTGCAGATTTTGTGTCACAAAATGGAAAAGGGGACCTTCCAGAATCCTTTTGAAAGCAATCACTAAGATGCCAAGCAAATCTTGAACGCTTCTCATCTGTAGCAATGATCTCTTTGCACCCAGCAAGGAGATGTCCGTAAGCATTTTTCCAGCAAGAATTTGACCCAACCAACTTATTTTTAGCACCCTGGAGCAACCTGATTCCCTTCTCATTGTTTAAGCCTTCCATCGAGAATTCAGGCACTGAGTCATGGCCATGGCGGATTGCTTTTGTCTGAGAAGAAGAAGAGAACAAACCCCATGACTGGCATCTTGGTGAAACTGAGAGCAATACCATTAGAGACAGAAAAAATTGATGATAATCCATTGTCACAAAACTCAAAAACCTGTAGGGAAAAGTTCAAAACAAAGTAAAAAAATTGCTCATCACAGCAAAATTTTATATCCAAACCAAGCAAAAACCCGATTCTATTCTCTTTATTTGAAGAACAGGGTCCAGCAAAGAGTGGTGCATGGCTTTATATACTCGACCAGATTAACCAGTCCTGGAGTCCAAGAAAAGCAAATCCAAGGATTTCAATTGCTTTGTTTTTTTATTAATATTAAAATTATTTTCTAATGATTAAGCCGATGCTATCACCGAAAAGTAATATCAAAAGATTAATTATTTTTTTAGATATAAAAAATTTTAAACACGGAGTTTCTCCATGTCAATGTCAAAATAAACTGTAGATCTAATAAAAATTTTAAATTAAATTTACACACTTATTAATTATTAATAGCAGAATTTAAATTTAAAAATTACTAATAAATTTTATAAATAAAATATTCAAATTTTATTAATTCAAATTCACAAATTACTTTAATGAATAAAAATGACTGCAAATAATAAAGTTCAAACCTAAAAACTATTAGCAACAAAATTCCAATCCAAATTTTACAAATAAAATATTTTAATCTAAATTTGCAAATTATTTTTATTAGTGTAAAAAAGAAAGACAAGACGAGTATTTTCGTTGCCGGACACTTCCCATCATGTCGTTATCAGTTGTTTTATTTTTAAACAGAAGATGGAAAGGACAAGACAAATATTACAAGCCAACATGTTGAACCGCCTTAGACTTTCAGTTTGCAGGCAATCCTAAAGTTGCAGTAATTACAAAATTACCAAAAAAATGAAAAAAAAAAAAAAAAAGAAAACTCACCGCTGAAAATCAGTAAGAAAAATATTTATTCATCCGATTAATATCAAACCCTGAACAAGCTTTTGGGACTGTGATGAAATTGAAAATCAAATGTAAAAGAAATAAAATGTAATCTAGGTATAGAAAAGAGAGAAATAAAAAAGGGAACAATGGCTTGAAAAGCAAACCAACCGACTTGAAAAGATGCGTTTCATCGCAAAAGGGCGCGTAACTAGTAAGATTCTTTTGCCTTTTTAATGTTTTTTTACGAAAATAAAAATATAATCATTCCTTCCTCTTTTGTCTTCCGTTTTACCATTTATGTAGACAGTTAATTTTACCTTTTCGACTCATTGCCGTTTGTGGGCGTTATTAGAGGTGGTAACTCTGCGAGTTAAATCGAGTTTGGATTGAATTATTTTAGATTTGAGTTATTTTGAATTTAAATTAAAAATATTGAATCATTTTAAATTTGAATAAGAATATGTTCAAATCAATAAAAATTTTTAAAAAATTTGGTTTGAAATGCCTTAGATTGGGTCCATTAGTATTCAAGTCATTCCAAATATAAATCATTTTAATCTTGAGCTTTTCAAGTTTGACCGTCAAATTGTTAGGTTTAACATGTAGTTATTTATTATCAATTTATTAACTTCTCCCACTAAGACTAAAGGTACCAATTGGATGAGTTAGATTAAATTCGAATATAGGTTTGAATTCAGTAATTTTAAATTAGATAATTTTGAGTTGAAGGAAATTTAAGTCATTGAATTTTCAATATTTTGGATTTAATCATTTTATATTTGATTTTTAGAGTTTGACATTTAGATTATTCAATTTCGAATACAACTCTTCAGATCCAAGAATCCATTTTTGTTTCTTTTTTTTTAATTAAGGAATCATATGAAAAATTTAATGAAATAAAATCTCTTAAGTGCCCGATTTTTTAGACATTGTTCATGAGTAAATTATTTTATTTGAGATTTTCATAAAAATCTCTTGAATTTTGGAGTGATTTTTAGTGTTTGGGTAGGTTCAAGATTTTAGAATTTGACTTGTTACAAGATCTAGATAATTTAAGGTTTTGTGTTGGATTTAAAGCTTGGGTGAGATACATGCTATTGGCTAAAAATGGTAACGAGCATTTCACTATGGTGAAAATTGATTGTCCTCAAATTTGAAATGAAGGACATGTGTAAAATAGCTTACATATAAGGTTTAAGAATTAAGAAAAATCATTTCAAGAAAGTGTTTTTTTATTTTTTACAAGAGTAATATCTTAAAAAAATTCTTGAACAATCTAATATGCAAGACTACAAGCAAATTAATACTCCTAAGACAAAAAGTAAAGGCTTGAACTAAAGAATGAGTCGTAGGACTCTACAAAATAAAGGAACAAATGATAATAATTTCTTACTCTAATACTATTGGAAGCCTTATATGCGTTATTATGTGCATAAAGCCAAACATATGCTATGCAATGAGCATGTAAGCAAATATTAATCGATTCCAAGTCAACCTCATTGAAAAAATCATGAAAAAGATATTATGGTATCATAAAGTCACTGTGAATTATTTGTTGTGCTATCAAGAAAGTGGTTTGCATTTTGATTGGCTATATGGACGCCAATTGGAGAGAAATTTTAAATGAAAGAAAAATCTACTTTGGTTATGTTTTCTTACTAAATATTGGGCTATGTGTTGGATCAGTAAGAAAGAGACTTGAATAACATTGTGCATAATGAAAGTTGAATTTGTAGTATTTTTAACGACAATTAATAAATTGTTTGGCTTATGAGATTTTTAAATCATTTGAAAATTGAAAAAGAGGATTCTAACTCAATGTTAGTAAATTATAATAGTCAAGTAGCAATCGCATTCATAAACAAATCCCAAAGACCAAACACAAAGATACCAAGTATAATTTTATGAGAAATAGGGTTGCACAAGAGAAAGTCAACAAGTACATCTCTACGTATAAGATAATTGTAGATCCATTAACAAAGCACATGCCTAGAGATATGTTTCATAGCAATTTGAAATCTCTAGATTTACGTAGATAAGGATGCACCGATTAAGATGTACCATGTGAACAATCTATGATTTTTTTCATTTAAGTTGACTTATATTAAATGCAATTAATGACATTAAAAGTTTAGTAATTTATTTTGTGAAGCATGCACATATGTATATGTATATATACATACATTATATGAATTGAAAGTTATGTCAGATTGATAATTGGCCTTCTTACAAAGGTAATCGCTTTAATAGTTTGGCACCATGAAGATGAGTTTTAAGCTATGGATCAAAAGTCCAAGCTTAAAACGGAATCAACTTGATAAGGGATCAAGATGAGGTTATTTAATATTGAGATTTTGTGACCAAAAATGAATAATCCCACAATTCACTTTGTCTATCTTAATATGCCACGTGGAAGTTCTAGAGTTGTGGACTTAAGTTAGATACTAAGAGTATCTGAACTATCACCTGTACGATATTGATATGTAATGACAAAGACATACGCTCATTGAGAAAAAAGAGTAATACCGTAACATGTATTTCATACCACATATGTATTGTTTGACCCAAAAAGGACCCTTAAGATCAGAGGATCTCATATTTAATACCCTTAAGGACTTTCTACTATTTCTTAAAGTTTCAATTCAATGTTAACTATCTTGGAATGTTGTAAATGGCCATGAATGATTCGATCTAATTGGGTATATCTAGATAGTAATTGAACCGAAATGGAGAGATTCTAAAAGAAAAGAAGATCATTCTAGTATCACATTTGGTTGTATTCAAAAAACGACTAATTATATTTGAGACGTCAAACAGAATTATGAATACACAAGCATATCATTCAATATGATAAAAGAGAGATGGTGTGAAACTTGAAATGTTACTGAATGGATATAAGGTCATGCATACTTACCCTACTTGTATTTGAAAGTTACTATACATATCTAATAGCTGTATAAGTTAGTAGATGTAATTTTAAGTTGCTATGTGCACCTAACAGTCGTATAGCAACTAAGCTCTAAAAGTATACTGGTCATGTGGCTTATTTCCTTGTATGAAGCCATTGCAAAGAGCATAGAAAATGTTTTATTTTATCATGAGAATTTACTACCCACTATATACAAGCGAGAGATGTTGGAAAAGTTTGCCTATATTAGGTGAACCCGACCCACAACATAATTGCTATTAAGTAGTTGAGAAAGTCTTGGTTTGAATCAAGACATACATTGCTGTTGAGCAACTTTTTCCTTTATAAGATAAACTACCAAGGAGCAGTTATTTGATGTTTGAATTAGAACCATGCTGCCCTATTCTTTGTCTATATAAGATGGCATTTGGCTATAGAAAAATAAATGAATATGGCATTTGACCATCATGAAATAAGACAAGAATGGCTAGTCTATTCCTGTCTTAATATAAACATGGCATTTGACTATGATAAGAAACAAAAATGATGAGAAATGTTCATCCAAATCAAGAATGAGATAAGTATCATTCATGTGAAATTATGTGATAAGTCATATATAGAATAAGAAAGGAAAAGAGAGAAATCAGTAAAGAAAAGGAAACTCTTCAAGAAATCTTTTGTATCGTTGTTTAAAGACTTGTGCTGAGGATAGTGGTCAATTTTCGAATACATGTGATAGCCTAATTTAGAAATAGCTACAAGTGCACAAATCAAATAATAAAGTGAAAGTATTCAACTATCGGCTCCCAATGAATTATAGATTGTAATGTTAGGTAGCTTTCAAGTACCAAAGTTGAAATCTTAAGCTTTTATATCTAAATAGATGAAAATTTAGGATTGTGTTGCAAAACAAGAAAAGAAATATTGAAAACAATGTAAGCTTAAATATTAGCTCCACCAATTGTCACTTTGTATGCGAAAGACATATTACAAGAAAACTGTCAAATACTGACATTCAAAAAACCATCGGTAAAACTTAAAAATCCATCAATATACCATAATAAACCTTATACTGACAATCAAAATATGTATTATGACAAATTTTTAACTGTTGGTATTTTCTTGTCGATATAGACTTATACTGACCGTTTTTAATGTGTCAAAATAGATAGTAGAAATATACCAATGGCTCGAAACCGTAAATAATTGTATACTTATTGGTATAGATCTGTTGCATGTCCCACCATCATACCTTTTACTGACGGTTAACGTCTGTCAATAGAAACTTGTATGTTTTAATTTTTCTTACTTATCCCAACAATTAATGTCCGTCAATATAAACTTATATGTTTTAATTTTTCTAAAATATACCGACGGTTAACGTTCATCAGTATAAACTTGTATATTTTATTTTTTCGATGGATTATCCGACATTATATTTTACTAACTATTGGTAACTATCAGTATAACCTAAAATATTCTGACAGTCAAGTGCATCATTATAAATGTTAAGACGTTAGTATTTTTTTAAAATTTAATTTCAATTATTAATATTAAAAAATTACTATCAAAACAAAGAACAAGAAAGACTTCTTTAATAAGGTTTTGAACAGATTTGATGATAAAACAACGACAAAGTTTTGATAAATCCAAATTCAGATGATTGAATCCTACTCGTTAAAAAATTCAAGCGTACTTGACTGGGGATGTGATGTCTTTCTCTTTTCTTCCTGCAAGGATCATAGAAATCTGGAGGCCTCTGCTAAATGCTTGGTTGAAAAGCAGCCGGGTTTGGAACTCTGACACAAATGGGAACCATGACAGGATAGCTATGGGCATGAACAATATCAGAGCCATAATATACTCGTATGCCCTTGCCAGCTCTTTTATTGATTCCCAGAGTCCTAAACTTTTCAACGCTGACCTCAGTGCTCGTCCAATCTACAAAGACAAAACATGGGTTTAATGACAATACTGCAATTAATCAGTAGCATAAAAAGGACAATTATCATATGCTAAAAATAGTGCAAGAAACAAGGATTAGTCTATTAGACAATCTTTCTAACTCTTTAGACCATCTTCAGAAAACAAAATATTCATGTATTAGTAGTTTTCTTCACTTTATCAACCAGCTAGAATGAAGAAACTTTTCTAAGTCTGGCTTGAAAATATAATGTGTAGGCCATACTCTAGTGAACATTTACCGGTACTGCATCCCCATGCTCAAGGTCTGTCAAATTATCATTTTCCAAGGTCTCATTCCTCTTTCTTCTACCTTATATATGAATGATATTAATATTAGAGAACATAACACTGAGAAAATTTTCAATTCCACAGCTCCAGATGCAGTTTCTCAACATAATTTTCATACTATGACAAGCATGCAACCAATGTAAAATTAGAACTCACAGTCCAAAAATAAAATAAAACAGTAGGTATGTACTGAAAAAATAACCATATAGTGATTTCAATTGGAGTGTCAAGCTGTAATAATGCGTAGACAATATGAAACTATGACCTAGATTACAATTAAATTCATATGATACCCAAAGTGCAAAATCACTGTAAGAGAAATATTTGCAGCCACCAAACAAGCAAAGAGTGTTTCAATGAGAATTAAAAAGAGAAAAAACTGAAACAGACTACTCCGCTGTGATAATCTTTTTACACTAGAAACACCATGTCATTAATTATAACTCAGTACGGACAAATAACAGAATGAAATCTGAAAACCATTCAAACATAAATGTGAATCATCACATGCAAACATAATCCAAACTTTGGAAACAGTTAAACTGAATATCATCATACAATACTCCCAAAAAAACAAAATTCTAGGCAATTAACCATGAAAGGAAAACTTGTACAGACAATTTAAATCAAACTTGAAATATAACCCAAACTCCAACAATATCAAAATCCAATGGCAATATAGAGAACAAACTTACTCCTCTGTCTAACAAAGGAGTTCTCTCACTTCCACCAAAATGCATCCCAGGAAACCTGTCCATGAAAGCTTGATATGAGCAAAGATAAATATAATAATTTTAGTTTCTAGAAAAGGATCAGTGCCTCAGAAGAAGGTGGTGTAAAGTTTAAATACAAATTTGAAATAACTTAGATTAATCATCGTTTGATTGAATTGGCCATGATAACAATTCGAAGGACCAACCAGATGTCCTGAAACAAAGACCAGAGTTCTAAACCAAAATTGAAGCAGCCGTATCGAGTCCAAGCCTGCAATACCGACCTTATTCTATTTTACAAAGAAACCTACCATCAAAAACTGTACTCTGCTACGAAATGCTTTGAGAAGCGCTTTGTTTCAATTTTCACCTTCAAAACACCAACTAATTCTAAGATTAAAAAAAAATAGCATTCAACAAATAAGAAATCGAGTGCATAGACAATCAGATATGCATCATTATCAAGATAAAAAACGACTAAACAAATGTACATTATGGTATCATTTTTCAAGTCACCGAAGCACAGATTCAGCAAAGCTTTGTTGCTTGCAACTGCAAGATGACCCATTTAGATAACTATTCTTAGTTCCAGAAGCCAACTCAGCAATTCAAAGCATAAAAGTAAATTTTAAACAGCATGTATAAAATTTTACTATAATTGGCATAACTTTCAGGTATTGGATACTTTGTAGCAAAAAATGAATTCATCCATTTGGAATAAAATGACAGATTCGCAAATTTAACAGCCAATGTTTATGAATTATGGGCAAACACAAGTAAATAATATAGCAATATAATCTTCTTGTATACAGAAGTTACTAAAAAATGGTGTCCCTATGCTAAGTAAGTCAAGGACTACAAAATATTACTACAACAAGGAAAGATGAAAAGGAATAGTATAGATTTGTCATACTTTCGTGCCCAATGCTCAGGGCTAAGGCGAGAGTACTTCAAAACCCATCCCATGGAACCTTTTTAAGACCTGCTCGAACAGATATTATGTCTCTGACCCTGCATAAAAGGATATCAATGGAAATCAACATAAAAACACTCTAAAACAGAAAAAAAAAAAAAAAAAAAAGGCATTTGAAGCAACCAAAGAAACAAGAAAAAGAAAACACGAAGCCAATTTATACAAACTGGGAAAACCCTATACGGTTTCCTCTTAGAAGAACGAAAGCTTTTAAAATTTAAATCAGCATCAGAGACATTTTTCGTTATCATCAGAAAACTGGAAACCCTAAAAATTCTAACAGGAATTGAAACGCTAAGACGGTTTCATGATTTAATAAAACAAAACATGAAAACTTCTCAGAATCTTCAAAAAAAAATACTTAATTAGATTGGTTAATTCAAGCTTCCAATTATAATAAATTTCGGCGATTAAAATTTAAAAAGAAAAAAAAGCAACAGAAACATACAGTAATACAATCAACTTCATATCCAATTTTCTTCTCAGACTCTGGATGGTACGGAAGCAACCTCTCAAGATTGAAAATGGAAGCTTGAGAGTTGAGTGAAAGAGATGAGAAGCCTTGAATCAGTGAAGGCGGCAAGAGAAGGAGCGGTAGACTGTGGAGATTTATTGATCTAACCATTTGGGTTTAGAGTTTTTGGGAAATAGGGAGACTGGCAGTTGAGAGAGAGAGAGAGGAGCAGCAGACCGAGGGAGAGTGAGACGAGCTGCAAACTAAGCAGCCGTTTGGATCCCATCGCATTGTTAAGCTCATTGTATTTTCAGATAAATTTAAATATTAAATTTTAGTGAAATCAAGTCCTATAAATTTTTTATTAAAATTTTTTATTTAATCATAATTATAAAAAATTTTAATAGTAACTACAATAAATTTTATTATGTTTTTCAATCCCACTGCATCTAATTTCACCATCATCCAAGGCGTGCGATTTTTTTAAAATAATTGTAACTAACATGTTTTTTTTGTTTTGATTTAATTTAGTGTTTAATTTTAGGAAAATTTTAAAAAATTATAGTTTTTGAGAATTTTTATTGAAGGAAAATATTATGAATTAGTTTTTTTGAAAAAAAAATAGAATTAATATTTTTTTGAGTCTGTACTAATAGTTATTACAATCGTCAGTATATAACATATTTATATTGATAGATATGTATATATTTTTAAAAATAAATTTATTTATACCAACGGTTGTACTAAGTGTTAGTATAGATATTATATATTCTGATAATATTAAAAATCTATCAATATAAATATCTTTTACTGATGCAATTTGATTGTTAGTATTACCACACGTCAATTCTTCTAACAATTTTTTGTAGTGTATACTAACCAGTAGATATAACCGTCAGTGAATCATATGGCTATACTGACAATTAATTACTTCCATTAGTATAAGTATTATTTATCTATGGATTTTTTTATTGATTGGAACTTATTTTGACAGTTAAAATATTAATCCGCCAATATACAAATACGTACACTGATAGTTATTTATATACTATCAAAAAAGATTAATATATACTGATGAAAGAATAAAATATTAGTATAGACACTTTCTATATTGACAGTAACAAAATTTTGTTAGTACAAATACTTTTTACTTACATAATTTGATCGTCAATATAGGTAAGTATCAGTATATTATATACTTATACTGACGGATTGTTATCTACCATAAAAAAAATTTATCTATATCGACGGTTGTAAAAAACATTGGTATAGATATAGTATATTCAGATGGTATTAAAAATCTATCAATATAAATCTCTTTTACTGATGTAATTTGACTGTCAATATAATCAAGCGTTAGTATATGAAAATTTTATTATAATGATAGTAGCCAAACTATATTTAAAAGAATAAAAATTAGAATCTTAGAAACAAAGAAACTTGTGATTGTCGAAAATAATGAAACATAAAACAAGATTGCACGAACTAAAATTTCGATGAAAGGATTATAAATGATTGAAACTTAACTTGTAGGAGAAATATAGCATTAACAGATACTTATAAAGCATAAAAGAATGAATGTAGACAATGTTGCCAAGTAGAAAAGAAATAGAACTTAAAAAAAAAATTAGAGCTTGAATGAATAGAACTTTGATTGAAGAAAATAGTTGAGAAAATAATCTTTTACTGACAAATCTATCACTTAAGCCAATAATAAGAACTATAAAGAAACTAAAGAACTAAAGAAAATAACTAAAGAAAGGAAAAGAAATGAGAAGTAAGGGATGAAAGATGTGGGATACAAGTGAATGGCCTCCCTATTTATAAAAAAGGTTTCGACCATTGGGGTTAAAATGTACAAGAGTTTAACTTCAATTCAAATGTTGAGGCATAAAGGTTTATCTTGATCTTCAAATGACTCATGATGAATGTGGACTCTTCATCCTTGGAGAGTTTGGCCAAATCGGGTCTTTAGGGAGCAATCTTGGCCTTTGATCTTGCTAGTATTCATTCTTGATTAAAACTTCCTCATACATTCAACTAAAATGGGATTGAAAAAAAGGTATTTGCTTTTTATTCAAACTTTTAGAATTCAAAAAAATAAAAGTCATCCTTCAATTTCAAGTCTTTAAAACTAAGTAAAAGAATTATAGTAAAGTTTAAACTCCTTTAGCTAAATATACAAGAGTCCATTTAGGTTTGAAATTATTTAAATGATACATCAACTCTTCTTGAAATAAGTGTGGCTAAATATGATAGAGATTGGGAAGTCATTGATCTTGCAAACTTCTAGAAATGAGCATTATTCTCTTGTGCATGTCAGACACTTTAAATTTCTTTGCCATAGCTGAATGGAAGTTACCTTATGCATGTGGATTTCTTCTTGGCCGCATGGATGGATGAAGAAAAGCAACTAGGGTTTAGCTATTAGCTTCCATGATAAGGTTGAATGTGCACCTTGTATGCTTGCATGCATGGTTTGCTTGAAAATCAAGTCCACAAGCCTTTAAACCCTAAAAACATGAAAATAACATTAAAAGTACCAAAATCCATCAAAATTTTTAAAATTTAGCTCTAATTTTAACTTGTAAAAATACTATAAGTCTAGGTGCTATCATACCCTCACACTTGAATCTTTTCTTGTCCTTAAGCAAACACTCAAATTAATAAAACTATAAATCATTATACATACTCACAAAGTCAAAAATTACATAAACTTTTTTTCATGTACTATCGTGAAATACAAAGTTAACTATAAACATAAAGTTACAAGAAATTACTTCAAAGTCAAGCTCTCAATATATTATGTTGTTTACACATATGAGTTTACTCAATCTTTAATTCATGCATATAACTCAAGTAAAAAGAATGTTTCAGTACATTTCAACTCAAAGATAGAATAGATTTCATGTATTCACTTTCCCTTTTCCTCTTCACTAATGTTAGACTTACATATTTGATTCAATATCAAAAAATCTTTTCGATTTATAATGTAAGACTTGGGTTAAGGTAGGAAAAAGAAAATTTAGGCTCAAAACCTTTAGCTTACTTTTTTAAAATTTCTTGGACTTTGATTTGAACAATTGAGAGATTTTTGAAACTTTAAACTTTTGAGGCATCACATTTATTTTTCAGAGTATTTTTTTAATGAATATACTATTTAGCCATTTTTGGCTTTATTAGGCTTTACCTTGCATTTGCTATTTTCTTTTTCTTTTATTCCTTACACCTCATTTTCTCTAAAATACATAAAAATGTCCATTATACATGAGTAAACATAATTTGGTTAGGTAAAAAAAAAAAGAAATAATAAAAAAAAAAGCTTTTGGCTTATTATGAGGCTAAAATAAACAAAGAAAAGAGAATAATATAATAGGCTCAAAATATAGGTACTAGAGATGCATTATAAAAAGGTGGCCTTGAAAAAGACTTAACGGTCCAAAGAACTACCTAGATTATCTTTTGAATCAAATATAGCTTAAAATTTCACCTTGAAAGTGAATGGGTGAATTCTATAGTACTTATTCAAATCTTTAAATTTTCATAATTCCATATCTCACTAACTTTCACAAAAATCATAACATTTCATTGAAAGAGAATAAAAACATATGTACAAAAATCATATGCCAAGAGATACATGCTCAAGAATTCCTTTCAAATTCCATTATACTCATAATTAACTTCATATCATACTCAAGCCACTGTTTGAAACTTTATTCAAAATTAAATAAATGTGCATAATAATGAAATTTAGCATGCCAATTTAGTTTGAAAGCAAAAATGGGTTAAAATTTTGAAAAATATTGAAGTTCAAAAAGTAATTCTTCCCCTCTTGAGTTGAACAATATATTAAAATATAAAGTAAGGGAAAAAGAAATACTCTTTTTTTTTTTTTGTTTAAGGCTGAGTCATCCTTTTACATGATGCATCATTCTTACATCCATTTCATCCTTATCAAAACAAACTCAAAATACAAAAACATCAAAGCATACCTATCTTAGCGAAAATTTGAAAAAAAAAAGTAAAACTATTAGGGTAAAACTTGGGTTACCTTCCAAGCAGTGCTAGTTTGGTCAAGTTTGACCATCTCTAAATCTAACAAAATCACCGTATTCTTTTAGGAGGGAGTCTGCTTTGTTGCATCCTTCTTTGAGAAATCACATAAATTGAATTGGGCTTAGGAGGTTTACTAGCTTTCCTAGCTAGGAAACATAAACTGAGCTTGAGTTCATCGTAGGTTTGGCCTTACTAGAACTAGTGGTTGCCAAATGATCTTATGTCAAAAGATCATGAGCTTTAGCCACTATGTTAGACTCCCTAAGGTTTTTCTTTTCTTTTTATTTTTGTTACTACGTGTACATCATCTTTGTCCTTAAAGATACCGCACCCACTAGTTATAAACTACATTTTCTTATATTTGAATTTTAGGGTGATATTACAATTGTACACATCAATTAGGGCTTTGGCAGT